TATAAAACTTCAATAGCAGACACAAAAGAAAACCTAGAACAATGGAGAGAGACACCATCTTTGTGGAAGGGAAGATTCCATGTTATAGACATAAATTTCCCCAAAATTAACCTCTAAATTCATTGCAGGTCTACAAGCTTGTTTCTGAAGGGGTATGTGTGTACATGTATGTATATAAACCAATAATATAATCCTAACAATCATATGGAAAAACAAATGGCCAAGAATAGCCAAGACAATCTTAGAAGAAGAAAAAGAATTATAGCAGGACATCCTTCCCAGAAATTGACTTCTTATAAAGGTGTAGTGATTAAGATGGCACAGTTTCAATTCATACGTGAGAGCCAAAAAGCAAGTTGAGACTTGATTTGGAAAGTCACAAAATCTGGGAAAGGCTAAAATTAAGGGAGTTGCCCAGGTGATAAATAAAGATCCATACAAAGTCATATAATCATAACGTTTCAGAACACTGGGAAAAACAGAATATCCTAAATGCTTCCAGAAAAGGGGGGAAAGGTTATAATAGAAGAATTGAGATTTAGAGTGGCACCAGATGTCTCAACATTAAATTAGAAGACAATGCCATGCCTGCTAAATTCTAAGAAAAATCATTTCAAATCTGTAATACTATGCTCAAACAAATTATCAATCAAGTATGAGGGTAGAAGTGAAAGCATTTTTCACATGTACAAGATTATAAAATATTTACTTCCACTAGAACCCTTCTCAGGAGCTACTACCAGATGAAGAGAAAGCCAGAAATGGGAGCCAGGAAACAGCGGATCCGCTGCTGGACTGCCGCACAGTGAATCCCACGATGAAAAGTAGGGTAGTCCTGGCATGACTGTGCTACAACCGGCCAGCAGAACAGTCTGGATGAGAAGGGAGAAGGCAAGACTCGAGCGTAGCTCTCTCCAAAAGGTAAATGGGAACTGCTAGGTTACATAATGTCTGAGAGAGAAAGGAATTATGGGCTGGAAAGTTTGGGGATAAACTGGTGAGAGTTATATAGAAAACAAGGCAAAGTGGTCACTTACACCAAGGACAACAAAAAGATGTTCAAGAAAAGAACTGTAATTAAAATAAACTGCATGGCCAAACTATGAATAATATTTGCATAGAGTCATAAAGAAATGAACATGATTTAAGGAAAGACTTACACTAGGAAGACAGAAAGTGTATGGGTTGGATGAGACAGTAGGAAATTAACAGGTAATATCTAGAATGAAATAATCAAAAGACAGTAGCACAAGTATGATAACAAGAAATATGTAAGTAAAGGAAACAACAGGACAAGCAGCCACAAGTCTCTAGGCGTCTGCCTCTAGCAGTAGAGATTTGGAGGCAGGAAGAATGGGACAAAGGAATGCTGTTTTTATGCTAAGCCTGCTTAAAATATATATAGATAAAAAATAAAATATATATTGATTAAAAAATAAAAATGGAAATAAAACAAGTAAAAAGGCTTATTCATTATAATTTTCTAAATGGAGGATAAACATGCTAGTACGTCCAGGAAAATTATTTTGAGATCATCAGTAAAGAACAAACAACTAGGAAGACACGCCAGGATTTCAAGGAATAAACTTGATCGTGGGTAGCTCACACAGACAGAAACGTCCTCATTGCATTCTGGAATGCCCAGGGAGCTGGAAGGCTGCCTATGAGACTCCAAGAGAAGAGCCCCAGCTTTGAGTCTAAGGGGCAGGACTCGGGGAAACACCAGCTCTTCCCCTGGAATTCTTCTTCACTGTAGCACTCTGCTCTCCAGAATTCTGACCCAAAACTTCCTGATGCCACAGCCTCCCTGACTTGAATCTGTGTCTTCTCAACTCAGCAAGTTCTCCCTTCTTGTATCATACCTGCCATTATTGGCTGCCCACTTCATACTTCAGAGAGACACAAGTGTCCCCAAGCAGTGCAGTTCCATAGACACATTCTAAATTGTGTTACTGCCCTCAAATCTTTTACTTCTAAATATCATAACCCCACATGACAGCATGATTATTTTTGCTTTTCACACTCATCAGATGGCTTTTAAGTAAATTTTGAAGAAAAGATGAGTCTTTTTTTTCTTTATCCTACAGATCTTATTTATCATATCTGATATTCTTTATCCTATCAATCTAAGTATCCAAATGGTATCATTTCCTTTGGATTAAAGAACATTCTTTAGCAACCAGATTAATCACTTTCATTTAACTGAAAATGTCTTTTTTTTTTAATGTTTTATTTATTTATTCATGAGAGTCAGAGAGAGAGAGAGAGGCAGAGGCAGAGAGAGAAGGAGGCTCCCCGTCTAGCAGGGAGCCCGATGTGGGACTCGATCCCAGGACCCTGGGATCATGACCCGAGCTGAAGGCAGACGCTTAACCATCTGAGCCACCCAGGCGCCCCTGAAAGTGTCTTTTATTCACCTTCATTTCTGAGGAATATTTTTGCTTGACATAGAATTCTTGGTTTATAGATTTTTTTTTCTCTTTCAGCACTTTAAAGATATTATTTCTGATGAGACCTATGGTTATTCTTACCATTTTCCCGAAGTATATAACATGTTTTTAATTATGGCTGGTTTCCATTTTTTTCCCCTTACCTTTAATTTTCAGGAGTTTAATTGTGGACAGGTGTGGTTCCTTTTAACCTTGAGGTACACTATGATTCTTACATTTGTGTTTTTCATCATTTTTGGTAAGTCTGAGCCATCAATCCTACAAATTCTTTCTACTCTTGTTTCACTCTCTTCTCCTTCTAGTATTCCAATCATAAGGAACCCTGGGCCTGAATTTATTTTGCTTCAATCTTTTCCTCTCTGTTCTTCAGACTGGATCATCACTATTGACCATCACTATTGTCTTCAAACTCACTGGCACTGTCTTCTCTCATCTCTAATCTGCCATTAACCAATCCTGTGAGTTCTTTCTTTTTTTTTTTTTTTAAGATTTTATTTATTTGACAGAGAGAGACACAGCGAGAGAGGGAACACAAGCAGGGGGAGTGGGCGAGGGAGAGGGAGAAGCAGGCTTCCCGCCGAGCAGGGAGCCCAGTGTGGGGCTCGATCCCAGGACCCTGGGATCATGACCCGAGCTGAAGGCATACGCTTAACAACTGAGCCACCCAGGCGCCCTGAGTTATTTATTTCTATTACTACACTTTTCAAGTTCTTAAAAGGTCCATTTGATTTCTTTTCCCGCTGAGATTCCTTATTCGAGCCATCTTTAAGACTGTATTTTGATTCTTTAGACATATTTATTCAAAAAAACACATTGATGACAGCTTCATTACGTCTCTTGTCTGCTAAATCCAACAACTGTGCTATCAAAGTTTCTATTGACTACTTTTATTTTTTAAGTCTGTATCACAATCCCTACCCCTATCCCCATTTTTATTTGGTCTGGTGATTTCTAATTAAATGTTGGTCATTGACAGAAAGATATTATAGAGAGTATGGACTCTGTTATCTTCCACTGAAGATGTTAATTATTATTGAAGAAGATAAAAAAAATACTGCCTGCTCTCTTTAAACAAGGGTTACCTTACAATTACAATCTTTGGGGGCAGATTTGTAGAAACTCTAAAATTCATCTCAGTCCCCTTGACTTGGAGGACCACTTTCAAACTCAATGAATTTTATCAGGACTTGGATTTAGAATGTTACACAGGTTTGGAGTAAGTCTTACATGTTATAAAGGTGTTAAATAGCTCCCCAGGGCCGAAATTCCAGTGTCCCCAGGGCCGAAATTCCAGTGTCCCCATGTACTGTCTCTTCTCCAGCACTGCTTGATTTCCAGTAACCTGTTCAATTTTCAGATGCACAGCATCTATAATTTGGTATGTCTTCTGTCTTATACTGCATATGTACAGTACAGGGCCCCATATCTTTAGGCCCTCTCTCTGAACAACTCCCTCCTCTCCAGTGTTAAGCACTGCAGACTAACTAACTCAACTAACTCACCTCTAAATGTCTTCCTCCTCAGCTCTGTATGACTACTACCCTCGGCTCTAACTCTAGGTTTCTGCATCAGAGCCTGCATACAGTCCCCATCCTGGGAAACTGTAAGGTACATCTCATGAGTTCATTTCTCTTAAAGATAACAGTCTTATGCTGCCTGCTGTACATTGCCTGAAAACAGTTGTCCCAAATATTATGTACAATTTTACAGTTTTTTATAGTGAGAGGACAATTTGGTGCCAATTACTCCTTTCATCATGGCCAGAGGCAGAAGTCATATAATCTATTTTTTTAAAGTTTATCTCCTTAGGATAAGTTTTCAGAAGTCAAATTACTGGTCCAAAATAATATGACATTTTCATGGCCTTTGGAATATATTATACTAAACTGCTCTCCAAAATAGTTTCTGCCAAATGAAATTACATATATTTGGACTTCTGCTACACAGTCAGGAAGATGAAGTAAAAACAAACAAAACAGGGAATAAAATTGGGGCATATAAACTTTTAAGTTTATATGAGGGATCTAGGGTTAGTAGAAGTAAACCAAATGGGAATATGAAACTAAATCCACATAGAGGATGTTCTGATCATTCATTTGTTGAATATTGTCCCTCAAAAAAACTAGACAACAAGGAAAGAAAGATAAAAAAAAAATAAAGGTGAAGAAGGAGTCACATTTTCTTCTTAAATGTGGGCCTTATTTTACCCACCTCTCTTAAACTGTGAAAATATCTCAAGTACAATAACAAACAGTTCAGCTAAAGAAAAAAACCAAACAAGGTTCTCATAAAAGACACATCATATCAATCTTAACATCATTAATATAAGCAGTTAAAAATGGCACTGGACTTTGTAAACAAACCCTATTATGAATAAGTATCCCTAATGCCACTGTGGGAAAAGGTGGAGAATAGAAAGACGGATGGATGGATGGATGGATGGATAGATACTTAGATAATATAAATAGATGGTTTCCAAAACAGATAAAGAGGACAAGTAGCAAGGGAGATATCTGTGGATAAAGTGACTTGAGATTTATCTTTATTTACCGTTCCATCTTCCATCAGCTTCAAACAAGAACCAAAATCTGCTAATCGAATATGTCCATTCATATCCATCAATATATTGTCAGGTTTGATGTCCCTGAAAAGACAGACACATTCAATTTTTAGTTGGGAAAAATAAATACAACCATTTACTTGGTAACATAAAAATTTGTCTGAAAATCTCAACTTCTTTTAAAATTAATACTCTAAGAACACGTACTTGACTACATTTTGGGTTCAAATCCTGGCTCTGATTCATATGGAAACTTTCTGAAACACATGCACTTTCAGTGTTCTGGAGATAAAAAGCTTTTTGGCAGTTTTTTGTCTTTTTTTTTTTTTTGAGGGAGAGAGCGCGCATGCCTGCGCGAGTGAGTGGGGGTGGGGCATAGGGAGAGGGAGAAAAAGAATCTTAAGCTGAGCATGAAGCCCAACACGGGGCTTGATCTCACAACCCTGAGATTATGACCTGAGCCAAAATAAGAGTTGGACGCTTCACTGACTGAGGCATCCACGTGCCCCTTCCTGGCAGTTTTCATTCAGGTTAAATTAATTGAGATTTGCAAAGATTCCAGTATGACCATGGTAGGCCTACTTTCTGTATACAGAGAAGAGCCATAATTATTTGATATATACAAAACATACTATTCTCTAGCCCATGAAATTGGAGAGGAAAAAATATACTTACTCCCCAGACCTTGAATGTAAATGTAAATAAATAAATGTTCGATTACTTCGAGTCAAAGTAATTGCAAAGAAATTTCTTCATAAAGCTTATTTGAAATACAACTGACACAACTGCTTAGTAGTAATTTATGTTATATAAAGCTATTTATGGATGTTAAGTCAAAGGCTTGTAAGATATACAAATCTAATTAACAACAAATTAAATCACACCAGTTTTTGTATTTGTTTCTACATCTGAATAAGGAAAAGGGATGCAAACTTCGGCAAAATACATAAAATGATTCCTGTAAAGACCCAGCAATGTGTTTTCTAATCACAATCTAAAGATTAATTCTGAAAAATTAAGAGATCAAACCTTTTCAACATATTCTACATGTAGAGGAAGGAAAAAAATTATCTATGAACATCATATAATCCAAAAGAATTCTATTACCATGTGGTTAGGGTCACCTTTTTTTTTTTTCCATCTCTTTCCTTATTTATTTTATAACTGGAAGTCTGTACCTCTTAATCCCATTTATCTATTTCATCCATCCCCGACCCACCTCCCCTCTGAAAACCATCAGTCTGTTCTCTGTATTTAAGAGTCTACTTTTTTGTTTATTTCTTTCCTTTTCATTAGTTTTGTTTTTTAGACCTACATATAGATGAAATCACATGGTATTTGTCTTTCTCTGACTTACTTCATTTAGCATAATACTCTCCAGGCACATACATGTTGTCACAAATGGCAAAATCATATTCTTTTTATGGTTAATATTTCATTGTATATATTCCATATACATATATGTATGTATGTACACACACACACACACACACACCCCTTAGCTTCTTTGTCCGTTCATCTATCAATGGATCCTTTGGCTGCTTCCGTATCTTGGCTATTGTAAATAATGCTGCAATAGACATAAGGGTGCATATATCTTCTCAAATTAGTGTTTTGTGTCTTTGGTTAAATACCCAGGAATGGAATTACTGGATCATATGGTATCTCTATTTTTAATTTTTTTGAGGCACTTCTATGATGTTTTCCACAGTGACTACACCAGTTTATAATCCCACCAACAGTGCACAAGGGTTTCTTTTTCTCCACACCCTCACCAACACCTGTTACTTCTTGTCTTTTTTGATCCTAGCCATCCTGACAGGTATGAGGTAACATCTTATTGTGGTTTTGATTTGCACTTCCCTGATGATGAGTGATGTAGAGCAACTTTTCAGGTACCTGTTGGCCATTTTGAAGTAGTCTTTTGAAAAAAGTCTATTTAGTTCTTATGCTCATTTTTTTATTAGACTGGTTTTTTGCTATTATGTTGAGTTCTTCATATGTTTTGGATATTATCCCTTTACTGGATATATCATTTACAAATATCTTCTCCCACTTAATAGGTTGCTTTTTCATCTTTTTGATGGTTTCCTTCACCGTGCAAAAGCTTTTTGTTTTGATGTAGTCCCAACAGTTTATTCTTGCTTTTGTTTCCCTTGCTTGAAGAGACATATCTAAAATAAAGCTGGAGGTATCACAATCCTAGATTTCAAGATATACTACAAAGTTGTAGTAATCAAAACAGTATGGTACTGGCACAAAAACAGACATCAATGGAACAGAACAGGGAGCCCAGAAATAAACCCAAGCTTATATGGCCCATTAACCTATGACAAAGGAGGCAAGAATATACAGTGGGGAAAAGACAGTGTTTCATAAATGGCATTGGAAAAACTGGACAGCTACATGCAAAAGAATGAAACTGAACCACCTTCCTACACCATTTACAAAAATAAACTCAAAATGGATTAAAGACTTAAACGTGAGACCTGAAACCATTAAACTAAAAGAAAACATAGGCAGTAATTTCTTTGACATTGACCATGGCAACGTATCTGTAGGTATGTCTCCTTAGGTAAGGGTCCTTTAATTTAACCTGAATGATACCACTTAAGGTCTCTATGGCTCCATTTTCCCATCTGCAATAAGAGGATAATATTATTGAAGTAATTTCTGTGTTGTACATCATGAGTTGGCAAATGTTGACTTAGAGGCCAAATCCAGCCCACTGACCATTTTTGTAAATAAAATTTCATTGTAAATAAAGTCACATCCATTCACTTGTAAAGTATCATCTATGGCATGGGGCGCCTGGGTGGCTCAGCTGGTTAAGTATGACCTACAGCAGCTTTCTCACTACAACAGCAGAGTTGAGGAGTTCTGACCACAGACAGTGTGGCCTTCAAAGCCTAAAATATCTCCTGTTTGGCCTTTTACAGAAAAAGTTTAGTGACACCTCTTGAAGATGACAGATGACTGCTCAACAGAGACAGGCAGATAGATGGACTGAAAACAACAACTTTTATAGGAAATTGGCTTCATTATCCTCAATGTTTGAATTTATCCCACTTTCAGAATGGTGCGTTAAAAAAAGATTTTTCTGTTGTTTGGAAACATCAAAGAAGTATACTTTAGTGCTGAAAGGAACCTTAGAAATTACCCAAACCATTTTTAGAGAAGTATAAAAAATGATTCTATTCTTTATTTTAAAAAATATCAAGCTGTATAGTCACTACACATACTGCTATCGGCATATTTCTCAGATTTTAAAGAAGACTAAAGGAATTACAGAAAAGGAAAAGAGTGAAAGGATTCATAGTCATCAATATTTTAGGCTATTTTAAAAGTAGGAAATATTAAAACTTAATTAGACAAATAAATTATATCTATATTATAACAAATAATAAATAATGAAATGGAAAATATTTAACAGGATAGAATTGACGCTCCCTATGTATCCCTTTACCTTTCCATTTCTCTCCTTCATCCACTCCCCACAGGTTAGCAACCACTACCCTGGCATTTACTATATCCATACATATTTTATATTATTAGTACATATATACAACCATAAGACTATGTATTTCTCTGAATGTCTTTAAACTTTATAACTGATGTCAAACTGTGTGTACCCTTTGAAATGTCGTTTTATTCTAATACTGTTGCTAAAACATGTTACCCACATTGATACACATTGTTCTAGTTTGTTAGATTTAACTGCTACATGGAATACTTTCATAGACCAAATTTATCCGTTCTCCTGATTATAGAATTTAGTTCTTAACAATTTTAGATTGTTGATTATTTTGCTATCACACAAAATTCTGAAATGAATATTTTTACTAATGTTGCCTAGTGCTCATCTATGAACATTTCTCCATGCTGTACACCTAGAAGTGGAATTGCTATGATGAAAGACACGTGAGTCTTCAACTTTACAAGCATGAGTGCCACTAAGGTTAAGAATCTTTTTTTACATTATCACTAGTCATCTCACATTCTTCTTCTGTAAAATGCCAGTTAATATCCTTTGACATTTTCTTTTTTTTAATAGATTTTATTTATTCATTTGAGACACAGAGATAGATGGATAGACAGAGAGAGAGAGAGCATGAGCAGGGAGAGAGGCAGGGGGAGAGGGAGAAGCAGGCTCCCCCTGAGCCGAGGTGGGGCTTGATCCCAGAACCCTGGGATCATGACCTGAGCTGAAGGCAGACACTTAACCATCTGACCCACCCAGGGGCCCCTCCTTTGCCATTTTCTTATACTGTGTGTGTGCTGTTCGTTTTTTGGGTTTGGGTTAATATTCAGGAATTCTTTTTACTCAAGCTTAGTTTACATGTGTTACAAATCTCTTCTCTCAGCATGTGGGCTTGTTTTCTCACACTGTTTATAATGTCTTATTTGTAAAAAAAAATTATTTAATGTCAATGTAGTCATAATTTACAATTTTTGTCTTTTTCACTATTTTCAGCTTTACTGAGATATAACTTACAAATAAAATTGTCATATATTTAGAGTATACAACATGATGATTTGATATACATAAACATCATGAAGGGATTCTCACTGTTGAGTTAACACACTAATCGTGTTCTTTTGTTTTTGGTGGTGTTTTTCGGTAAAACATTTAATTTCCATTCTCTTAGAAAAGTTCAGTTATACAACATAGTTTTATCAACTATAGTCACATTATATATTAGCTTCTCAGACCTTATTCATCTTTTTTTTTTTTTAGATTTATTTACTTAGGGGGAGAAAGGGCAGAGGGAGAGGGAGAGATAATCTCCAAGCTGACTCCCCGTTGAGTGAGGAGCCCAACACAGAGCTCGAACCCACGACCCTGAGACCATGACCTGAGCCGAAATCAAGAGTCAAACGCTTAGCCTACTGAGCCATCCAGGTGCCCCAAGACCTTATCCATCTTATAACTGGAAGTTTGTACCCTTTGACCAACCTCTCCCTATCTCCCCAGCCCTTTGCAACCACAATTCTACTCTCATATTTTGTGGTTTGTGTCCCAGGAAATTTCCCTTACCTTCTCCCAGAGGTCATACAGATAATGTCCTATATTTTCTTTTATA